TTCTTCCAGGGTGAGGGCTTTGGAGTCCAGAGGCCCTGGTAGCTTCTTCCCCTGTCCAAGGTTCCACTTCCTCTTTCCCCTCCTTGCACTGTGCAAGGAGGTTGAGCATCCCAAGGCTGAGAATTCAACCCCAGGGAGGCTGTGCAAGCAGAACTTCCCCTTCTGCACTAGTTCCATTTCCATGCCTAGGGCTCTTCACCCCAGGGACGGCGATGGGAATCTTTGTACGAGGTCCCACTGAGTCCCCCAGCAAGTGGATCCGAGACCACGCCCCGTGAGCCCAATGTCAGGAAGTGCTCAGGGCCTAACCAGGGAGCCCAGGCAAGCGGTGGCTGCTGCTGGGCGGTCGGTGGGAGGGAGAGGAGGGGATGGCACGGAGGGGCGCTGGTTCCCCAGGGCCTGGGCAGCGCCCAGAACCGCAGGAGCCGCCCCAAGCCCAACCAGGTCTCCCAGTGCTTGCTCCTAAGGAGCCACCGAGCTGCTCCTCCCACCTCACAGTCCCAGGAGCGCCGGTTTGTGGCACTGCTACTCACATCCCTGCTCTCTGCCACTGCACCAGGCTTTGGAAGTCACTGAAGAGAAGACCAGACCCAGGGGTTCCTGGTGGGGGTTCGGGGTCAGAGGCCTGGGTTTTCAGCCTCTTTGCAGGCTACAGAGCAGCAAGATCATATCTGTGTGGCTCAGTGGGTTAGTACATTTGGCAGTTAATTGAAAGGCTGGTGGTTTGAGCCGACCCAGGGACGGTACACGCTGCTTTTGCAAGGAAGGTACCTCCGCCCTCTCAACTGAGGAGGAGCCAAATTGCCTCCCTCCCAGGTTCAACTCACCTCCCTTCTGGAAAGCCCCACATGGCCTGATGATCTACTAGAGCAATCAGAAACAAGAGACCTAAGACTCTCCTTTCCTTTTGGCCCCCTCAAGTCCTTGTTCTCTCCCTTTTACAGAAGTGGACACCTGTGGGCAGTCCTGGAACACTCAGTTTTCCCATGTGCAGTCTGAGGCCAGCACTGCTTTCTTATTCCCAGGGAGCTATCTGGACTCACTGGTCACGCTCTGGATGACATTGACACCTGCGAAATCATCCTAAACACCCTCTTCGTTTTTTGAGAAAAAGCAATTCTTCCCTAATATTATAGAGAAAGTTAGAGGACAGGTAGGGAAATTAAAGGGCCACAGCGAGGTTTCTAGCCAATAAAGACTTAAACCCCTGCCAGAGAGAGAGACAGAGAGAGTAGCTGAAAGAAACAGGGAGAGCTCCTAAGGCTGGCCTGGCTCACTACATGCCAAGATACAACCCCTCCATCTTTGATTAAGCACAGGAGAAACAGAGTGGGGAAGAGGAGACACTACCATAAAGACCCACTCAGTACCTAAAATACAAACCAACACCTATGCACTCACACACCCATGTATATATAAGTATATACACAGTTTATTATTCTCACCATATTAATACATTAAAGTGCACACATATTCTGTCTACTAACTTGGCCTTGAAGATAACTCTGCCATAAATTGCAAGCATCTGAACCTCATAAAGAGACCAAGGAGGTGCTTATCCAAAAACATACCATTAGGCCATGGAAAGTTTGAGGGCCATATCAGGTGTCTCAGAGCCCAAAGTGGCCAATCAAGGTATCATAGCTCTCCAGGGAGAAGAGTCCCTTTCTCCCATATTCCCCCAGTGCCAGATGTGGACTCTGTATCTACATATTTTCTCACTTGTTGTCAAAGAAGTGATTTTGTTTCCCCATTTCTCTGTTCTTTCCAATAAAGTTAGTTTGTTTCTTCTTCTGAACCTGTATTTCCTAATTCTTTATACATGCAGGGTTTTTTTCTTTGTTTGTTTGTTTTTTTTTTTTTAACAAACTCTAGATAAAACTGTACACTTCGGAGAGGAGACCTAACAATACGTGGTTTATCTTATCAACCCTCTCTGAAAATACAACCACAACTACAACACACTCAACCACCTTATCTTTAATAAAGGAGCCAAACATGTTCATTGGAAGAACGACAGTCTCTTTAATAAATGGTGCTGGAAAATCTGGCTCGCCATATGCCAAAAACTAAAACTGAACCCATGACTATCACCATGTACTAACTTAAAATCTAAATGGATAAAAGACCTGAATATTAAAACAGAAACACTAAATCTATTGGAAGACAAGTTGGGTAAAAACCTTGAAGACATATGGGTAGAAAGAGAATTCATGAACAGGAATCAAACTGCACAGGAAATACTCCCCAGAATCAATACCTGGGATCAAGTCTTATTAAAAAGTTTCTGCATGTCAAAAGAAATCTCCAGCATAGTGAAAAGTAAATTCACAAAGTGGGAAAAAATTTTAAAGTGTTCCTTAGACAAAAGACTTCTAAAACACATAAAGAATTTTTAAAAATCAGACTCCCAAAATTCAAAGATCTAATCCAAAAATGGGCATCTGAGGTGAGGAAATACAAATGGCAAATAAATACGTGAAAAAACGTTCATCATCATTACTCATTAGAGAAACACAAATTAAAACCACACTGAGATTCCATCTCACTCCTGAAAGAATGGCCAGGATCCTGATAACTATCAACAATGAATGCTGAAGAGGCTGTGGGGAAAAAAGGAACTCTCCTGCACTATTGGTGGGAGTGTAGGCTGATGCAACCATTGTGGAAGTCAGTCTGGAGATTTCTCAAAATGCTGAGATTGAAAGTCCCATTTGACCCAGCTATTCCACTTCTAGGCATATTCCCAGATGAATTGAAAACATCAAACCACAATGATATATGTGCACCATGTTTATAGCATCACAATTTGTAATAGCCAGATCTGAGAAACAACCTAAGTGTCCGTCAACTGAGCAATGGTTAAAAATGTTGTGGCATTTTTATACAATGGAGTACTACTCAGCTATAAAGAATGATCACATTGAGATATTTATAATAAAATGGATGCATCTTAAGACCATACTCATAAGCAAATCAAACTCACATATATAAATATGATATAGTCTCCTTAGTGTAAGAAATTGTAAGAATACATGAAAGTATATGATAATCATCATTCCCCATTATATTGTTTGAAGCCTTATAAGATTTTCACTTATTAGTTGGAATGGTTTTATTCTGGGTTTCTTGATTTTATTGTCTGTGATGGTATGATAGCTATTTTGAAGAAAACAAGACATTGTAATAGCTAGTGCTGATTTAATATCATCTTGTTTTGAAGTCCTACCAACCTTTTGTTCTTCGGTCTCCATCGGTTTTATTATGTTGTATCTCACTGGATTTTGTTATATGTAATAATATAAATAAAATTTTTTATGGACAAGGAGATAATATAGTAACCATTGTTTATATTCTGTTTGTTGGTTTTGTATGCCCTGTAATATTTTCATTCTCTTGAATGGTTTTATACTCTCTTGATACTATAGTGTATGAAGGTATACTCAATTATTTTAAGAAAAGAGATTCTATGGTAGCTACTGTTATGTCGGGTTGTCTTGTGGTGAAACACTATGTTGCTATAATTGTTGTGTTCTGATCTGTTTTGTTATATCGTCTTTTAGCTTAATCTTTTAAAAAAAGTATGATCACATTGAGATATTTATAAATAAATGGACACAACTTGAGACCATACTCTTATGTGAAATAAATCAAACTAACATGCATTAATACTTTAGTCTCCCTAGTGTAAGAAATGTTAAGAGTACATAGGAGTTTATGTCATCATGATTCCCCATTACATTGCTTTGAATCCTTATAATGGTTTCATTCATTAGTTGGAATGGTTTTATCCTGGTTTGTTTGATTGTATTATCTGTGATGATGTGAACAGTTATTTTGAAGAAAACAAGACATTATAATAGCTAGTGCTTATTTAATATCACCTTGCTTTGAAGTCCTACCATGCTTTTGTTCTTCTGTTTTCATTGGTTCTGTCATGTTTTATCTAATTGGATTTTAATATGTGTGGTAGAATAAACAAACTTTTACGGACAGTGAGATAATATAGTAGCCACTGTTTGTTTTCTGATATTTGGTTCTGAACGCCCTGTAATACTTTCATTCTTTTCAACAGTTTATACTATTTTGTTATGTTTGATATGATTGTATATGAAGGTATGCTCAACTATTTCAAAGAAAGAGGTATTATGGTAGTCACTGTTACTTATGGTTTGTCTTGTGGTGAAAAACTGTGTTGCTTACATTGCTGTGTTTTGATATGCTTTGTTACGTCCTCTTTCGTCTTAATCTCTTTAAAATAAAAAATTTAAAAATTTAAAAACAAAGTAGGACACTTGAGTGCTCTGAAATGGGCCAGGACTCTCATAAAGAGGCATCTGTGAGGGGCTGGGGATTTAGCTCAGCAGCATAAAGGCCCTGCCTTGCAAGCAGGCAGTCGTGGGTTCGATCCCTGGTACCGATAAAAAGGAAAAAGACAAAAAAAAAAAAAAAAAAAAAAAAAAAAGAGGCATCTGTGCTCCCCAAAAGAGTTCAGGGTTCTCTAGACCATGACTGGACAGCACAGATAACCCTACTGATACACTTCATTTCCAACAGGTTGCCTGTTCTACTCCACATCTGTCCACTGAGGGGCACTGGGTTTAGGCTCAGAAGGCCGAGCAGATCATGATAGCAAAGGTCTGTAAATCCAGCACTGGGGAGGATGAAGCAGGAGAATCTCCTAGAGTTTGAGGCCAGCAGGACTACATGATGAATTCGAACTCACTATGAGTGGGTGAATTTGGAATATAGAGACCTTGTCTTTAAAACAGAAAACCAAACCACAAAATGTTCTGGGAACTACAGAGGACCAAGATCCTTGCAAATGAAGCCTCCAGGCCAGGACATTGGATTCTATCTAATTTGGGAGTGCAGCCAGAGCCATGCCTCCAGCTGCTTCCTGTCTTCAGGTCCTTTCCTGGGCCTCTTGCAGGCCTGGAAACTTGACATCCAGGACAGGAGATTCCAGGGACCTTGGTAGACAACGCTCTGTGCTTCACTCACTTGAGGGCAGCTGACCTGCTCTGCTCACTCAGGGTCCACAAGGAGCTATAGGAGGCGGCCAGCAGGGAGCCATCTCCACTGCACTTGGTTTCTGTCCCGCCGCTTCCTCTGGCTGCCTTTGCTTGGGTCCCTCGCAACAGGCCGAGGAGCTGGTTCCTGGAAGCTCTGTGGCAGTGGTCTGGAGTCCTCACCTCCGAGGGGGGCCGCCCTGCCGGGCTTGCACCTGGCCCGTGCCCCTGGTGGGCAGAAACCCCTGCACCAGGGCTGGTCTAGGCTACGATCTCCAAGGCGGTGTGCTGGGAGTACAGAGCAGGACCCGCCGCCCGGATCTAAATAGGATTGTTCAGCTCCAGGGCTGCTTCCTTCCTGCCACTGGGCTGTCACCCCTGCAGTCTTGGGATTTTGTATGGATGCCCACAAGTTTGGTGCCCCTCTTTGCACCAGGACTACTAGACCAGAATGATTGCTTGCTGGTCTTTCATCAGCATCACAGCTCCCCACTCCCATCCCCCTGCTGCTCCACTTAGAGCACAATTTTCCTTCCTCGGGGTTCCAGCATGCTTCATACTGTTTGATCAATTCTATTATACCTGATAATATAGGCAACTCAATTTAAAAATAGCAAGAGGCACAATGGTAACCACTTTTGATCACCTGGTATTCAATTTTTGCATCAGGTACTATGCCCACACTTCTGTTCTAACTGACTCTGTTTTGCTTAGTCACACTTGGTTTTATTCTTTTCAAAAAAAGTAATAACCGTGGGAGTAATAAAACCCAAAAAGTCTAATTGTTATTGTAAAAAAGAAAGGAAAGGAAGGTGGACTAAGGGATATAACCGAAGGTATGTTTGAGTATGTAGAATGGAAAATCATATTACTGAGCTTTTGTTGGATCATTGAACGAAACTGTCTACAATGTCACTGTATGAATGTCCACTTTATATGCTTTAATTTTATAATTTGGACAACTGTTTCTGGGAAGATAATATGTAACCTATTAACTGATGATTTCTTACGTGTATTTTTTTTTCTTGAAATTCTCTATTACTTGGACCCTTTTACTGCTTTGTTTTTCATGTTCTTTCTTTTTTTCTCTTTAAATAAAAAAAGCCTGTTGCAGAAAAGCTTGCATTTGAGGTCAGTAGTGCAGGCCGGGGGGGCACAAGGGGGTGGCAGGGGACCCCCGCCAAGGGACATCTTGATGAGGAGCCCTGAGCCTTCAGTGATTTTTCCATCCCAGGTTCTGAAGGAGGGACAAGCTCAAGTTTATGTATAATGATGGTTGTCAACTACAGCAAACAATTACAATAGCACCTACTAACACATCCCTTTTAGGAACAGATAAGTGACTGATAATAAGTGCTCATGTGATAATATGAACATGGGTTTAGGGTATCCAGTGCTTTTTAGGCAAAATGAAACAATTATTCTAAATGATTCGACAAAATAGAAAACGGGAATTTAACTCCAGCACACTCCTTTCCTTGGAAATGCAGTGTTTACCTGAAATGTAAATTTCCTGGGCCTATCTGGCCACAGCCTAATTCAGGCATGACTAGAGCAGGTACAGAGCTGTGCCTGTTTGCGACCCACAGGGGTAGTTATTTCCCTTCCTCTGTCCACCTTGTTCTCATGAGAGTCTCTCGGGCAACCAAGCATTTTCAGAAAGAAAAAGAGGTAAGGTCTTTAAATGGGAAGCCAGGTTTGCATGGCAGTAATCCCAGCACCCGGGAGACTGGGGCAGGACCTTACAAATGCTTTAGGGATTTAAGGAGCCTGTATTAAAAGGAGGGGAGGCTGAGAAGCAGCTCACAGGGAAGGTCTTGAATTCAACCCCTTGTACCACAAAAACAAAACCAAAAACACCTTAAGTAAAAACAGTTATAAATTCTGCCCCACCTTTCCACAATATGCTAACATTCAGAATATCTCATGAGGGGCTACTATATCCACATCTACCATTTAATTCTGTCCCTAACCTCTGTAAATATACGGCAATGAAAGATGGAAAAGGGGCTCTAATGAGCAGATTGTCACTATGAGACCTGTAGTTAGTCCTTTAGAGAGCATTCTGAGACACAGAGTGGAATACAATACAGTCCCAATTGAGGGTTGACAAAGTACACGATATTTATCTGCCAGCTTCCTATTTTTATTGACTGAGGATCCATCCTGAGACTTTAATTGGTTTTCGGTGTTCTCTGGTATATGCAGGTGAGTGTGACTGAAAGTGGCATGTGAGTCCCAAGGCACAGAACGGCTATGCTCTAGGCTAGTGCCAGGTGGCCTGCTCCAAAGGCTCTGGTGAGCACCATGTCTGGTGTTTCTAGTTCTCTTAGAAAACTGAAAACTTGGTGTGAAGACTTAAACTGATCGGTGCATTGTCTTTATGTCTGAAAGTAAATTTAGTGACTCCAAAAGTGATACCCTAAGGTAAAATTTCCTTGTCAATGTCTGAGCATCTGCTCAAGGGCTGACCCAGAGACATTTCTGCTTTCCTGTCTTTGGTCTCCCTGTTCCCAAGTAGAGTTAACCACCACCAAATCCAAATCCACACATAGGCTTTGCCAGAGGTGGGAAATGCTGAGACAGAAGTGTTTCAGGGTCCTTTCAGCCTCTCTCAACAGAGTCAACAAGTATGTTTCAGAACTGGGTGAAATAAAAATAAAAATAGAAATAAATAAATAGGAATGAACACACAGATGGAGAGGGATGAGTGCCAGGAGCAACCCCTATGAGAAGTAGAGGATTGCGACCTTACCTGGAGAAGGTGTGAGTGGCCCAAGGCCCTGAGGCTGGAAGAGCAGACAGGAACATGGTGGGCTTGAAGAACCTATTCCTGGCACAGCTATAAGCCAGAAATAAGGAAAGACTGAAATGCAAATTGCCCAATTAAGAAATTTGTGTGGTCAAATGAATGATTCACACAATAAAGTCCCATAAAAACTGTGACGAAGATATAAACGTGGAAAAGCCTGACAAAGGAGCATGAAAGCTGACAATGGGAAGGAAATTATGCTATTTTGCTATCTGTGTCTGCTCTCCTTCCCATCAGCCCTTTCCCTGAGATTTCTGTCCACCTTGTGAGTGTAGGCAGCGCTTTCTGTTCTGAGTGTGAACTGCACTCCTTCCTCCAGCTTGTGATTCCGGTGGAGTCTTCTAAAGATAGTGTCACTACTGAGGGTCTTTGGGACTCTTTCCTTTGAGGCTGATTCCCTTCAGTTCTCATTTGCCTGTTTCTCCAGCCTGTAACACCAAACCTGTGTAATCAACAAAACTTCTGCTACCATATTCAGTCACTTCTTTTATACAAACATTGGTGGCTGGGGATGTAGTTCAGAGGCAGAGAACTTGCCTGGCAGGCAGGAGAGCTGGGTTCAACTGCTGATATCACATAAAATGACACGAACATTGGAGATAATAATTGTGCCTTTTTCCTAAAAGTGAGCAGAGAAGACTGTTCACTTTTGTACAGATGACAAGCAGTGGGCTCAGGCCGCTTGTTGTTCAGGGAGGTTCCCAGGAGGTTGGTATTAAAGGTGAGCTTTATGGAGCCACATGGAGCCAGGGTAGATGGTTGCTGGGGATGATCCCTCTTTGCCAAATAAGCTACATTTTGTTGCTATGTTTGTTCAACTTCTTTTTTATCCCTAAATTTCTACTAAAATATTATTCACATATTTCAGTCTTCAGTGTCAGCTGTGTTATATAGTAGTAGGAAAATGTTTTGCTCTCAGATTACTATCCAACTAGGAATCAGAAGAGTAGAGTAAATCTCTGAAGGCAAGAGCCAGGACTTTATGCTCTCACTGCTTTTCCTTGCTTGAAATTCCCTGGAGCCTATTCTTAGAGACCTGGGTTAATTACAGAAAACAGCAACTACATTCTGCCTTCCTGTAGACCAGAGCCTGGAGTGCACCGACAGGATGTCTGGGGTCTCTGGAGAGAGAGGGTTTGAGCAAGCCTCAAATGGAAAGGCCCGAACTACACGACCATTTCTCCTGATTTTCTCCTTTGCATGCCTATAACACAACTGGAAATGTACTCTTCTAACTAGAAAAGCCAGCAAAGCAACTATGTTAAACACAGAGATGTGAGCTTTCTTTCTCAAAGTCTCTCAAAAGTGACAGGTGTGTAAGTTTTATTTTCTTCTTTGCCTTCTCTCCACCCTCCACCCATCCTTCTGATCTCGATGACCCCCTGCCCACTCACAGTGTGTGTGCGTGTGCACATGTCAGCGTGCCTTCCTCTATCTCTTCTTTTTCGCTCTCATTTTGTGCCTTAATCCTTTGTAGTTAGGCATACACTCAACTTTTCTTTGGTACCAGGGATCAAATTCATGACTTCACACTTTCCAGGCAAGCACTTGAGCCACTGAGCTAAATCCCTGACCCCAACACTCAACTTTTTATCCTCTTCTTCAAAATATACTGTTTTCAAATTACTAGAATAATTAGATTTGACTTCTAAATTTCTTTTTGACTTTCAAATTTTTCATCATTTTAGAGGTCTCGTCTTAAATTATCTCATTACCAAATTTCTACATTTATCTCAACTGAAGTCAGCTTTACTTAAGAGGTATAAGCCATGGAACCCACAGTTATAAGCTTTAGAAAGTGACATTTAATTTTCAGATATTTATGCCTAAGCACTACCACAGTGAGGAAGAGGCAGGGGCTGTCCCTAAATCTATGGTCACCCTCTGAGCAAATGCTTGTCTCCCTGCCAGGGCTTCCATGTGTCCTTCCTTGCTGTGGGTCTTGTTCCTGATACTTCATCTCTTCTTCTAAATGTCTTCGGGATTTTCCGAAGTTACTTCCTCGCCATGATCAGAAGCTGAAGAGATTTCTAAATTCTGTTTTCTCTCGCTTGGCAGTTCTTTACATATTCTCAAACTGAGAATAGTATCTGCTAAAAACATTATGCACAATGGCATATGGAGAAGGATGTGAAGCCAGAAAGAAATTTGTGACTGGAGGCCTGAAACAGAAAAAAAAAGAGGAGACACTACTTAGACATCAGAGGGATCTGGCTGAGTTCTGTCTGGAATGAGATTGACTGAGGCCTAGTGTGCTAGTCCCCATGAGGCACTGGCAATTTGGGGGCCTGGAGAACTGGAGGGAGCTCCAGCTGGGCTCTATGCTGTCCACCAGGGACAAACTCCTTGGAAGAGTTTAACTACCAGGGACCCAAGCTAAGGATTTACTCCTTAATTTCAGAGATCACTGCTATTTCTACTTTTTTATGGTTGGGTTGAGGATTAACTTTATTTTGATTTTCCCCAAGAATCTTTCCTCCTGAACTCACCATTTCACTACCTCTCTTAACAGACACTCGGGCAGGTTCTTCTGTGCTGTCTACAAGATCACTTCCTATAAATACACTATGCGAATCAAAATGGGCACCCCAGTGTCTGTATTCCCAGATCCACTAGCAGCAGACAGGAGAAGCTCAATATTTTCTGGTGAGATGGTTGGTGAGGGACAGGGCAGGGATGAAATGGTTAAGTGGGCCAAAAGGTGGCACAAGAGTGACAGGAAGCGTGAACAGAAAATGAAGGAGAAGAAAAGAAGTAAGAATGAGATGAAGGGAAGGAAAATAAAAGGCAGGAAGGGAAACAATGACGTCTGTGAAGAGCATATTAAAGTTCTCAACCAATGGTGGAAAGGCCCAACCCCAAGCTTTTCCTAGAAAGACTTGCTCCTTCTGGCTGGGCCATCATCAAACCCCTAAACAAGCCTCAGCTCCATGGCAGCAAATGGCCCCTTCTCCTTTGCCAGTGGCTTCCAATCCTCACTCACCAGGCACTTCAACCTCTGACACAGGGCTGCGCTTAAGGACATTTCCATCTTCTGTGGCTGCCTCACACCAGTAGGACCCAGAACCATTTGTTCTAGCAGTTAGATTGTGGTACTCAGAGGATGTATTCCTGGAACTCAGCGTCATGTTGCCCATGTGGAAGGAGAAGTAAAGCTGCACGCCAGAACTCTGTGGGAGCAACTTTGTCTCACAGCTCAGCTTGAGTTTCCTCTGCCGAGGTGGGGATCCTCTACCGAAGGATGAGGTTAGCACTGGAGCTGGAAACAACTCTGAAGAGAAAGTTGATAGGGCACAGAGTTGTCTCCTTCAGCATCAAGGTTCTTTCACAAGGTCATACCCTCTCCCACCTTGGAAACTTGTCCCCAAGAAATTGCATCCATAAGCTGAATTTTTCCCGCTTACAAGAGAGTCACTATGGGGGTTACCTAACAGACATAATTAAGGCTATCAACTTGCTTGAATCCATATAGGAGAATTCTTTTATATGGCCCAAATTTCCCCGAATGGCCATGTTATTATATAACTGCACCCTCTTGGTAATGATCTGCCCAGAGTAGGCAATAGCTCACATCCTTTCCAGTTCAGTGATTCCCTACTTGTGCTCCTCTCTTAAACAATAATCCGAGATAGTAATTTCGTTCCCACAGGAATGAATGTTTTTTTAATGGAAAATGTCACCGATGACTATGGGTGCTAACCGGAAAGATCATGAAATGGTCAGAGCAAGAACTACATGTAAACTTGGACAGGGGAAGGTGCTTAGTTTGCAGATGTTTAGAGAGAAGTAGGATCAGAAAGCTGTACTGTCCTAGAGAGACAGATGAAACCAGCTCCTAATGTCTTGCTTTCAACTTCCATGAGCATTCATGAAATTGTACTGGGCTATTTTCTAATAACTTTTCTAGCTACCTTGAAGGAGTCTCTGTTCTTTGCAAACTAAAATCAAATTGATAAAATAGGTCTTCATTATGTCCTGACTTTGAGTTTAGCTCCTGTGATTGATAGGACATGGTATACTGGAAAGATCAACGGATGGGCCCACTCACTTAAGCAGTTTATCTCTTACGAATTGAAATGAGGGTTTAGATGATTTATGCTGGTCCTTTGGATCTTTACAACTATAGCTCTATAACCATTTAGATACACTATCTTTCACCATCACAGGTACTCCTGTCAATGTGAAGGGGGCAGGTGATCTTCCTTTGCCTGAGCAGTGATAGACACCACTGTGATTCACGTTGGCTTTCAGAATAGTGAGTGCAGAATCTGGATAATAATTAACAGGCTTTCCCTTTTGATAGAAAACCACATTGTATACCAGCTTATTCTTCCATCCATGACACCTCGAGGGCAAAGGTTTTCCTTCAGTGAGGACTCTCTTGGAAGGCTGAAGCAGCAGCCAAGTTGAAAAAACACAGACCCCAAATTCATGAAAACAATGGAGTTCCCAATTGACAAGAAAGGCGGACATCAGGTCCATAATGACAAGGATGGAAACTCGACTGATGACCCTGGAAGAACGCCGAAAAGAATCACAGTGCTGTCGACACCCTGCTCGGAGCCTTTGAGAGACTCTAAGTGGAGCATGCTGCTAAGCCCGATCCATGAAACCAGTAGATAATAAATGTGTTGTTTTAAATTTTTAAGTCTCTGATAATTTGTTACACTAAAATGAAAAACCAAATGTATTACGTATTCCTAACTTCTGCAATACTTGTTAATAGGGTGACATATTTTACGACAAAATAGCAATCATATCCAGATGTCTGTGAGCTACAGAATTGGCAGGAATACCCACACACAATATCATCAGCCAAAACAAATGTCAGGTCAAATGCTCTCCCTTTCAATATACACCTCTGTACATAACCATAAAAGCTTCCCCTAGTTTTTCTTTCCCTGTGGCTATTCATTTAGATAAATTAAGATTAGACTTTCAGAGACACAAGGAGGAGAATATACAGTAGGGCTTTTCTCCCTTCAGAACATATCTAAAATGAAAGGCAGGTATTCCAGTGATACATGTAGAGCAACTTTTAGAGTGTTTGATGCTGCCATAGTGAATAGGCAAGCCACAGAGTGTGAGAATATATGTGCAATGCTTGAAAAAGATTTATTCCAGATATATAAATAACCACTGTATGTCAATAAGAAAAAGACAGCTAATAGAAAAATTGTCAAAAGATCTGCCAGATACTTTATAAAAGAATATTCAAATACATAATAGACATGTAAAAACTGTTGATATTAAGGAAACACAAATTAAAACTACAATGTGTTATTACTACACATGTACTACAATGGCAAAAGTTGAAACATTTTGTTTGGGTGAGCATGAAAGGAACTAAAACTCTTAACCTCTGTATAAAATGATAAATTATGCATTGGTAAAACAGCTCTGAAAAACTATTTAGCAGTCTCTCTGAAAGCTGAAATATACCTATTTTGTGACCCAGCAATTCCACTCTTAGTAATTTTCCAGTGATAGGCATATATGTACACCAAAGTATTACAGTTGGCAAAATTAGAAGTTGATAGGCAGCTCAAAAGGAATCAGGCCCAAGATAGAGTCAGAACAGAGAGGAGACAAACCAAGCCTGTAGTTAAGGGTTAAATGGATAGAAACTTGGTCCCAAGATTGATACATGATCATGAGTCCTACAAGCCTCTGCACAGATGAACAACAAAGGCCCAAAGCTTTGCCGTATCTAGCACTGTTATAGGCAGCTAAGTTAGACACAAATTAATAGGCAGTGAGACAGGACTAGGCCCCTGAAGGAGTCAGTGCAGAAGATGAGAATGCATCACAACTCAGGCTTGATGGGCATATGTTGAAGACTACGCCTCACGGTAAAGATGCAATGATCAAGTCTACATGCCTGATGGTTAAACAGTAACTTGAGACTATTATTGTACTATGATTGGTATCATCTGCTTAAGTAAAGTGCAGATAGACCTCAGTCCCCCAGGTGGGTGACCAGAGCATCCAGTCCCATCCCTTCCCCAAAATGCCTTTGTTCTTCCCATGTACTCTTGCTATGTGACTGGCTTCTCTGTTGGATCAGTATTAGCTTAGCAGTTATAATGTAATGCTGTAGGCCAACTCTAGTTTCCCTTTTATTGCTAAAATTCTGATATACATAATATAACATTCATCATAGGGAAGTTGTACATGTACACGACATATTTTTCTTTTTTTCCCAATTCCCCTCCCCTCTCTTCAATCCTTCTTCCCCTTTTTATTTACAAATCTTTGTTTCCATTTTTTCCCTGGGTCTTTCCTTCCAACTCACGAACAACGAATATCTTTCCATTTTCTGATATCCTCTTAAATCTCCCTTTTCAGGGTACTATAGTTTTCAGTGTAAAGATGTTTACTTCATTAGACTGATTCGTATGTACTTCATGCGGGGTTTTATTTTGGATGCTATTGAGAAAGGTACTGTTTCACAAATTTCTCTCAGTGCATTCGCTATTTGTATATTAGACCACTTTTAATTTTTGATTATTGAGTTTGTATTCAGCCATGCTACTGAATTTGATTAATAAACCTAGAGGTCTCTTGGTGGAGTTTTTGGGGTTTTCTATGTAGAGTATTATGTCACCTTCAGATAATGATAATTTAACTGTTTTCTTTCCTATCTGTATTCCATTTCTTTTGTCAAATTGCTCTGGCTAATGTTTCCAGAGCTATACTGAATAAGAATGGAAACAATGAACATCTTTGTCTTGCTCCTCATTTTAGAGTGAAAGTTTTCAGTTTTTGTCCATTTAGTATAACACTGGCTGTTGGTTTGTCATAGATGGTTTTTATCAGATTGAGATAAAGACCTATTACAATTTTCTGTAGTTTTTATCAGGAGCAGCTGTTGGATTTTGTCAAATGCTTTTTCTGCATTTATTGCGATGATCATGTGGTTTTTGTCCTTGGCTCTGTTAATATGGTGTATTACATTTATCGATATTTGCATATTGAGCCATCCCAGGGTGAATCCTTCTTTGTCATGGTGTGTAACCACTGATGATTTGCTGAATTCCACTTACCATATCTTATCCAGGATATTTGTGTCTGTGTTCATTAGGGAGACTGGGCTATAGTCCTCTTTTTCTGCTGGGTCTTTCTTTGGTTTTGGTATCAGTGCACTTCTTGTTTCTAGGAATGATTCTGGGAATACCACTTCCCTTTCCATTTCAATAAAGAGTTTGATAAGTAGCAGCATTAGGTCTTCTTTAAATGTCTTGTAGAATTCAGCAGAGCATCTAACAGCAATGAATTTGTCAGGAACTGGGTTTTTCTTTCTTGTGGGTTTCATTGACTGATATTGGTTTATTTAGTATTTTCTTCTATTTAGTATTTTTCTTCTATTTCATTGACTGATATTGGTTTATTTCGTATTTTTATATCTTCTTGATTCAGTTTTGGTAATTCATATGTATCAAGAAATCTGTCTACTTCTTTTGCTTTTTACATCTTATTAGAATACAAGTTCTTGAAGTAGGTTTGGATAATATTCTGGATTTCTACAGGATCTGCTTCGATTTCAACCTTTTCATTCCTAACTGCATGGCTCCAAGACTTTTCTTTCCTTTTTTTGGATAAGGTTGACTTACGGATTGATGGTTTTATTTAACCTTTCAAAGAATCAACTGTTTTTATTGATTTCTTTGTATTATTTTCTTGGTCTCTATTGCACTGATTTCTGCTCTGATCTTATTTATTAATTTATTTAGTCTTTTTGAGCCAGGGTTTCCTTGTGCAATTGAGGCTGGCCTTGAACTTTCAGCAATCCTGCGTCAGCCTCCTGAGTCCTGGGATAACAGGTGGGCATCACCACACTGGGTTCTGGTCTGCTGTTAATTTCCTTCTTCTTATAATTTGCTCTTCTTTTTCTAGAAGCTTGAAGTTCAACATAAGCTTGATTATTTGAGTTTGCTCTGTTTTTCTGATATAGGAATTCACTGCTTGTAAGGGAACTTTCAATGTGGGCCATAAATTCTAATATGTTGGGTTGGCATTATAATTGTAGAAATTGTTTAATATTCTCTTTATATCTGTGGCCCACTTGTTGCTCCAAATATTGCTTAATTTCCATGTGTTTATGAAGTTCTTGTGGTTTCTTTTCTCACTGATTTCTAGTTTCTTTTTAAATCAGATTTTATTTGTATACTTTAGATACATATATGTATATCACATTCATCCTAGAAAAGTTGTATCTACAAGTGATATCATTTGTTTTTTTTTGTATCCCCCTACCTTTCTTCAACCTCTCTTCCCCTTCTCATTTACAAAAACCTTATTTCCATGTTTTGCTTCTTTTCCCATTTTTAAGTCTATTCCCCTTGTTTCCTTTTCCCCTCCACTCCCTTGTTCTACTCTCCATTTGAATGTTTTCTTTCTAATTCATAGTTCCTATTACACATTTTGGTCCTTATTTACATTTTTGTTTTCTCACACCTAAGAAACAATGTGATATTTGCACTTGTGGGTCCAATTTATTTCACTTAAAGTTACGGTCTCAATACACATGTTTTCCTAGAAATATGTCAAGTGTGTCTTTCTTTATGGCAAAGTAGTATTCCATTGTCTTAAAAAACCCACATCATTATCCATTTACCTGATGGTGGACATTTGGGTTATTTTCAAGATTTGGCTAATACAAACGGTGCTGCTGTAAACATGGCTGAGCATATATTTCTGTGATTTCCAATTTCATTGCACTATGGGATGATAATATACATGGGCTAATTTCAGTGTCTTTGCATTTAATTACATATGTTCACTAAGCTAGATTCTGATCTATTTTTGGAAATGCCCGATGTGCAGCTGAGAAGAATGTGTATTCTGATGTGAGGCAGAACACTGTAGACATGTGCTAAGTCCATCTGTTCAAAAGTTTGATTCAGTTGTGATATTGCTTTGTTGATTTTTTGCCTAGGTCATCTGTAATAGTGGAGCACTGAGATCCCCCATTACAGCTGCATTAGTGCTTATTTGATTTTTCATTTCCGTTAATATTCTGTATAGTTGAGTGTGCTGGTATTTGGTGCATATATGTTCTCTCTTCCTCTTGGATTGTTCCCTTTATAAGCATGTGGTGACATTCTCTCTCTCTCTTGATCAGTAGTGGTTTGAAATACTCTTTGTCTGCAAAAAGAATATCTACCCCTGCTTTTTTTCTGGGTTCCTGTCACAGTTTTTCCATCCTTTAAGTTTCAGTCTATAAATTTATTTCTGAATTAAATGTATTTCTTGTATGCAGCAGATTGATGGATCTTGCTTCTTGATGCATTCCGCCAGTCAGTTTTTAGTTTGGTGAATTGAGACCATTTACACTGATGGTTATAACTGATATGCATTGACTTATCTTTGACATGTTATGTTCTTATTGTTGGTCATTTTTCC